GCATCTAATGTCTCTTATAATTGCCTCGTCTTATATTTACGTATCAGAGTCCAAATAATCATGAAAATGTATATATTTGTCATTATTCAAGCATATGTAATCAAAGCCAGCACGCAAGAAATCAGTAAAAATAATTAAAAAATCAATAAATACTTTTAAGAATATTATTACATTTTTTTTACTCAAATACTTAATGTTGCAATTGTTAAATGGAGATAAACAGCATGAATGTGGGAATATTAGTTTAAAAAACAAAACTTGATGAATTTGGGCCCATGAGATTAAAATCTCTAATTCCCGCTGATAACGGAAGCAACTTGCGCTATCTAACTTAAATTCATTCTAATCCAACGAATAATTAATCTTATGATTCTTTTTGGGTGCTATTAATCATGCGATTCTATTTGTTCACTTCAAACAAATACCATTTTGTCGTATTACAGGTTCTCTGGCATTAAAATTAGTTGGGGGTGGAAAAATATTAGAATGCAATGTTGACGCTTAAGGTTTACCCATGTTTGTTAGTTATTTAATTGTATGAAATTAATGAAAGTTTAGGTTTATGAGTTGACGTACGCAGCATGGTGACCGACCTATCACATGGGAATCGTCCACATGATGTCTTTTACGTTACCTTGTCTTTTCTTCCTCTGATGTTCCATTGCTTTGAAATGAGGTTTATTTGTTTTAGGACTATTTTTTTCTGTACAACTTCCACAAATGCGCACCATTCCCATTCCAATCAACTTTCACCCCATCACGTCTGTCTACAAATTTATGAAAAAAATCCACATTTTTTAAATGTGACAACTACAATTCTCATCACTAATAAGAATTTTTAAGAGATAACATAGGAAAAAGAATGATTAAGAGACATAAACAAGAAGCCAGAGCCCTACTCAATTTCAACTCAATAAATTCCTACTTAATGTTTGGCTTAATTATAACCACATTTAAGTGTATGTATTAGATACACGTAATATATTCTTCAACATGATAAGTGTTCACTTCTTTTAGTTAAAAATAAATAAATCATTTTTCTCTAACCAGTATGTTTTAATATTATTTATAGTACGCACAAATAAACTTCTTTGGAATTTTAATTTTGAAAAGAAATTGAACACGTGAATTACGGTGTCATCATTTTTTACAAACTTGGGCTTTTGGGCCTTCAGCCTGGGGTGCACATAATTTTTGTGATCTGGAATTCGTATGTTGATTCTAGTCCAATGTTAAACTTTTGACTATTAGAATAATAATAAAAAAAAAAAAAATCGAACGTGGTGTTCAATTCTCGCGCCCCAAACAAGAATGAATAAATTTGATGTTGTTCCATATTTCGATTTAATTTTCTCTACGATATCTTTATTTTTTGTGCATGTAGAAATTCCAACTCAACTTTGCAAGTCGTTTATCACCAAATGGACTAAATTTGGGAATCCAAATTACTTAGTTTACACTACAAGAAATTTTAATATTACCAATGACGGTCAAAATTAGTCGGTAATTATCGACAGAGTCACTAAATATTTTACAAAATTACTATAAAATTGTCGGTAATATTTTTATTATTTATTAAATATTTTTCTTATATAACCTTCCCTTTATATCTTTAATATTTATTATTTTTCCCTATTATATTTTTATAGGTGAACCCAGGACCTTAGAGTTAGAGACCGATACTCTAACCACTAAGCTACTAGAATTTTTTGATAATAATTTACAAATAAATTATATTTATATACAAATATATTTATATATTTAAATAATTATATATTTATATAATTATATATTTAAATATTTAAATATTTAAATATTTATATTTTATATATTTATATTTTATATATTTATATTTTATATATTTATATATAATTAAATATTTTTATATATTTATATATTTATTTTTTAAAATTATTTAATTTAAGAAATTATTATAAATTAATCTAATTATGATTAAATTAAATTATTAAATAAAAAATATTTAATTTTTTAATTAGGTGAATATTTACTAATTATTAATTTACTGACGGAAATATACATCGGTAATTTACGGATGAATTTATCGACGGATATATCCGTCGGTAATTATTTGTTAATTTAGAGACGGATATATATGTCGATAAATTCATTCGTAAATTACCGACGGATTTATCGACGGATATATTCATCGGTAACTAATTATTATTTTACCGACGGATATATCCGTCGGTAAGATCAAATTTCACAAATATTTTATATCCGTCGGTAATTTCCATCGGTAATAATTATTTTCCGACGGATTACAAATCCATCGGTAAATATTCGATCGGTAATACGCGATTTTTTTGTAGTGTTATGAAATGATCCTAACCCCGAGTGTGTGTGGAGTTAAGGATATATTTTCGGGGGAAAAATGATATAAGGTAATGTTTGACTTAACCTTTTTAAAAAAAATAATGTTCTAAGGATTTTTTTTTTATATAAAAATAGAGAGAATAAATTTTAAATGTTTTTTTAAGTAACAGGTTTTAATATTTTTATCTATGTTTTATTCTGAATTAAAGGATATAAGATAAATAATATAGTATTGTTGATTTTGGAAAAAAAAACATTTAAATTGATATTATGAAACAAGTTCGTTTTATTATTTTCTTAAGAATAAAGATTTTTGACATCCAACAATCAATTGATAACTTTTCTTTTTAACTATGAATTCATTTATATTATAATTATTATTAAATAAATAATAACATTATTATTATTATTATATAAATATAAATATAACATTATTGTCTATAGATTGTATATTTTCTCAACTGATTGTCTATATATCGTTGTTTTTTATTAAACAGGTGAGGTATATGTGTCAACGCACACAAAATCATATTAAGTTGCTAATTGTTTTTTAATCTTTGTGAAATAAAATCTTTAGAATTGCTTATTTTGAAATGATGCAAGTAACTTTAAATTAAAAAATGCAGCAAAAAATAACTAACGAATTGAATTATTTGATTTTGTTACATTTAAAGTAAAATATTACATAATTTATTATTAAATAAACTATAAAATATATTAAAAATAAACAAAAATAACAAAAAAGTCACTTTTCAACTTGAAATATATTAAAATCATTGCATAGTAAAAAAATTGATGGTAAGTCGATAGTAGAACTAAATTGTTATTTTTTATAATGTAGGATGAAAAGTAAGCCATTAAAATTATAAGGATCAAAATTACTATTTTTTTCGTATATAAAACAAATTTGAACCATTCAAATTATGGGAACCAAAAATTCCTCAGCACAACTATAGAAAAACAAAAAAGTTAATATTTTTTATTAAAAAAATCAAGAGAAGATTCGCAAATTATAAGTTTATTTCGAATATACGCTCCAGACACGGAATGCGAATATATGCATGAATTAATTAGGTATTGAAGCTTTAAATGAAAAAATATAGTTTTTTTTTTTTTTCAAGTATCAAATCAACTTTACTTATATAAGGAGTATTTTTGTTGGAGAATTTAATTTAACATTTTCAATAAAAAATGAATCACTTTTTTTTTTTTTCATTCAATAAATTTAAACACCAGTATTCCTTAAAAAAAATGAATTCAAATTTCATTGGTACCAACTCAGGTAAGTAAAGTAGATGATCTCTTTTTTATAGTGTCTTTCCTTTTTCTCTACACCCACTCAGTGCTTAGACGGCCCCCGCTGTATCCCACCCTGGCATATGTCCATATTTAGCCCTAGCCGCACACAACCATCTCATCAATATTTTTTTTTTCTTTCCTTCTACATAAACTAAAAAATTATCTTCTTTTTTAAAAAAATTGTCTGTGTTCATGTAAAAGTAAACAAAAGTAATATAAGAAGGGTAAAAAAAATGTTATTTAGAATCATTATCGTTAATGAAGGAGTAAGATGACATGCTTTGATAAACAGATGATGATGATGATGATGATGTTGCTTTACCAAATAAAACAAGTGTAGTGCATGGACCCAATGTGGTGAATTTGGAAATCGCAGCACCAGCATGATGGGTCTTGCTATCTTCCCTTTTGAACGCAAAAACAAGTAGCACTTGATCTCTCTCATATTTTATGGTGCATTCATGGACTGAAATTTGTTGTACAAAACAATATCTCATTGACGTGACTAGGACACTGCACAAGTGCAGGCTGAGAGAAACACTTTCTAGTGACTAGTGTCCGAGGATCGCACGTATACTTTATTATCACACCCAATGCCTAAAACGTAATCCATATTCTACCCACACACACACACACATGCCCATTCAATTTTTGTCATAATTGCAGCCGATTCCAAATTCTAGATATCATTTTGTGCTATTTCTCGAAGTCCTCTTTTGAATATAGTTGAAGAAACACCTTCTGATACCTCACCAGGGAGTGATAGGTACGTACCATAAACTTTGTCACACCCCAATCCTGATTGAACCCTCAAAGTGGAACATATACAAGTAAAAGATTGAAATGTGAATGGAAGTTGACACTGGGCAAAAATTGTATGATAGTGGGGGATGTATAAAGGGAGAACAAAAAAATGAAAAGAAAAAAAATAAAAAAATGAGGGGTAGCAAAGCAATGAAGTATGGGTGCAGTGCATGTTTGAAAGCAATATGTGTACCACTGATAGCTCAGAGTTCAGAAAGGATTAGTGGAAGTAACATTTGTGTCCTTCAAATAACAGACACATATACATAATGTATTCTCCCTCAGAGGTCACAGCTGAGCTAAAACTCTTCCACTTTCAAATCACAGGAGACAGTATCGTCCCGAATTTGTGTGTGTATACTGAGATCGCATAAAGCATTATAAAATGTTCATTTAGTGGTGAGGTCTATCAAGCATCATCATTTGTTTTTGACCAAATTCAATGTGGTCATTGGTCAGTACGTAGTCATTTTTTGCACATTAGTGTGGACAAGATCAAGCACCATCTATCATAATTTGGAGCCATCAACTGATTAATAGAAGCCTAGGATCACTTGTGACGACTATGTGAAGTCTTCCTCATGGAGCAACTTTTGGAGAGTACTGTTTTCTTCTCGTATGCTAACACTATACTTCTGAGCTAGCTTCACCTTCTCTCAATACTAGTACAATTCTAATTGCCTTTGGTCAAAACTGATTAAAATGAATATAGAGAAATTTCGTATATAAAGTCCTTTTTTCTATTATTATTATTTGAAAATATATCCAATATCAAATTATGTTTCATAATGTCTAAAAAAAGAACTTGAAAAATCTTGCATAAAATCCTCTTATTCACTCTCCTATTTACCATGTATAATAGTAGTTAAACACGAAGTGTACTTTTTATTTAACATAAAGAAATGGTAGAAAAATATGAAATTGTTTGGTTGCCAACTTGTTGGGAATTTCCAATAATGGACAGGTGGCCCAGTGCCGGGTAAAATTTATTTCCGTGTGTTTGAATTGATAGGGAATGGGCTCTACATTCAACAAAATATCTTAATTTTCTGAATAACATCTTCCATCATTTCCCAAATCTACATTCGCAAGAAGAATAAATAAATAGTTTATGAAAATAAAACAGAAAAAATGGTAATGGAAACAGTACTCTTTATGAACATGAGCACTACTTTCTCTTTACACCAAAAGCCTCTTCTCAAACCTACCCACTCTCCTTCACATATCAACAAACAGCACCCCCAAGAGAGAGGATTATATAGTCTTATACTTCAACTCTCAACTCACCAATTCAGAACAAGGCTTTGCTTATTCCACTGCAACTTGAGGAGGCATCCAAAGGGATCGCATTGATCCCAAATCCAACCTTTCATATTCTCTCTTCCTACTCACAATATTTGGGATCATGCTATCCCTTTGGATTTCTCCTTTAGTGGCTTCTATAATCGTAGCTACCATGCTTTCTGCTGTACAACCATCTCATACTTGCTGCACCACAGCACAGACACTTAACTCTACAACTCATGATGCATTACGTGGCTCAAACACAATCACACAATTCATATCTGTAAGTTCATATTCTTTTCCTTTCCAAACCCTCTTGCCTCTTACACTTGCCTTCCTAATCTCCTTAGTTTCTTTGTATTATATATCTTCTTATTCAATCCATGAAATTATTTTTCCATCAGAACCCAATGGTATACTATTTGTAAAAACAGGTCTTGGATTGCCTTATTTCACGTTTCTAAGCTTTTTTTTAATCTATATTCCTTTTATGAAATGGAGCCACCGGATCCGACCCTTGAGGTAGAGGGTAATTATTTTTGGAAGTTTTTTTCCTTCTCGGTCGTTTCTGTCTTCTTCTTTTTCATACAGTGGTCGCTTTATATTTTAGCCATGTATAGTTTTCCATGAATGTTAGTTATGTGTCAGTGTGTGTGTGTGTGTGTGAGTGTCATATATACATACTCAGTACATGGGTATATATTTCAGAGTGAGGTCACTCTCTGGAATCAGACATATAATACGCTTAAAAGTTAAAATTAAAACATAAGTAATACATGCCAGCTTTTACTAGGTGAAGTACATAGGGGAGACTCTTTTGCAGTTTTTGCGTTAAGATTAAGAACCATTGGATTATCTGTCATGAACCTTTGAGTATAGTGCGGTGTAGAATTTAGAAATGACTTTCTGGCTGATATCTTTAAGTGAATAACCCTTCATCCACTGCAAATTAATTAATTAATTATTGCTTGATCTAAATCAACCAGCACCGTATCTTTTAAGGGTTTATATATTAGAGTAGGAGAAAGAAAATTCTAATTATAATATTCTCCTGCAAGTGCTACAGATGCGCATATTCTGGCTTTTGCAATTAGAGGGTGACACTGTTCGCAAAATAGAAATCATGATTAAGTACAATAACAAAGTGGGAGCAAGCTAGTTAGCAATTAGTACTACGAATAAAACAGTACCAAATGATTGATGAGAAGGAAATGATTGTATGCATTTTCGCTTGGTAAAAATCATATCTACCCCATATTGGAAGCTTTTGATGATTACATGTATCCAACAAATTGATTTCACCTTTTGATAAAGTGTATTTTTTTGGTTTTCAATGAAATCAAATCTTTTGGGTATACATAACAGTTTAAGTTATGGTTTTCTGGTAAGAGTTAAGCTGTGTTTGTGTTGAGATGAAATTCTTCTCATTGTTATATATAAATGTTGGAATAGTTCTCATGGCCACGCAGTGGCATAGCGTAGTGGTGGTGGCCCTGACCTGAGTCAATTATACTCCAAAAACTCTTGCTTTTATGGACTTTAATTAGAATCCAAGGCATTAGAAGTCAATTACACTTGAAACTTTGGACCTCACACTGTGTGTTCAAAGTTCAAACCGTGACTGATACATGTGCTGTGAGAGGTTAAGAATTGAAAATTGGAAAGTCTTACAAACGTTGTTTATTTTTTAGATTAAAGGATCAATTTTTCCGTTTCCCTATTCTTGGCACATGAACCCAACATTCTAGCATAAACCCACCTATTCTTCATGATCCCTTTAATCACATGGCTCCAACCATCTGTCCTCTCTTTCTATCACCTCTTCTACCTTTTTTTATATACCTTTTCCATTTCTGTCAAAAAATTAATCCTTAAATCTCTATCAGCTTCCCAAAACGGCAAAAGCTTTTCAGAATACTATATTAATGTATAGGGAAAGGCTACAATGAGGCTTTACCACTTGTTTCATGAACCATTATCCCTTATAGTTTATTTCAACATCCAATGCCAATTAATTAGCGTATGACCTAAAATGTGCTCATTTGCTTGAAACATATTTAATTGAAAAAATAAAAAAAAGGCTCCAGTGGGGCCTCTTAAACTTAGATCTATGCAGCTATATCAGCACCTTTATATGGTTTATTTGTAAGCTAAAAATGTAATATTCTTGGTTCAGCATAATGATAAAGAGATCATTTTCAATATGTTTTCAAAAGCACTAATATAATAATTATTTATTTAATATAAACTAAGTTGAATAGAATAGCTTTAATGTGCTTCAATTTGTTTTTTTTTTCCTTGTTAACTCCTGCTCCCTCTCGTTCTTAATTAATTGTGGCCTATGGCTATTTATAGCCTTCCACCAACTGGTATAAGTTCAAACATGGAACTATTCAAGCAAAAAAATATTGACTACTATTGGATTTGGACATTGTCTATATTACAGTTACGTTAACCTTATTTTAGTTTCCACAAAGTTAGTAAGCCAGTAAATCATAAACATCAATCCATTTACCATAAGTAATAAAAGAAATTGACAATGATGCCTTTTTTCCAGATCTATAGCTATAGTCATAGTTTCATATTTTTTTTGTTATAGGTACATTCATATATATTAAATTATCAAATATTTATATTCAATTCTTAAAATAATCTGGTAAAGAAAAAAAAACTTTTATGATAAAGCATGTTTAATCAATAATAAAATGTTGAATACCTCGTTTCAAATAAGGCACCATTGTGGTATAAACAACAAGTCATTTGATACAGGGAAATATTAGCAGCACTCCCTTAAACATTTTTTTTTTTTTGTAATTTAATCTTTTTATTTGCATTTATAAAATTATATGTAGGTCTGCAATCAAAATTTGAAGACCTATTTTTTATGCCAAAAAATAAAAACTAATTTGTTTAGTCATATTAATATTTATAGTGTTTCATGTGCAGTGTAATTTATTTTGGATGGATAGGATTGTATTTGTAGAACATCCTTTTTTTTATATAAAAATTTACAACATAAAACTTGGAGGAAAAATTGTGTCACTCTAGTGAGGTCTCACCTGAATTAGTCGAATTTCAATGTAATATGAAAATGAGTAGTGTTGGACAAAAAATCAGAAACTGAAAAGTGTGGAACAAGACCTATTCTAGAAGGAAGAACATGTGTGTATGGTTTTACGGTTAGCCTTTCCTTAAATTATAGAGGTGTAAGCAGTTCAAGTTTATAATGAAATGACATTTTGAAATTGTACGCAAGGATGGGTCCAAGGTTGAGAATGAAGATTTTTGGGCATAAAATTGTCTTCAAATATGAAATGTGTAGTTCAAATGTCTCCCTCTTGGACTACACAGACTTTACATACAAGACATAAGTGCCAAAAGAAAAATAGAATAAATGTTTGTTTCAAGAATTTTTTTTATTTTGGTACAACATCTTTCCTACAATAATTACCTTGTTGGTTGAAGTTGTATTCATCATACCAGTGCAAAAATAAGACTATAATCTCAAAATCACTGGCCTAGAAAATTAGACTATAATATATATAAATCCCAAATAAAATGATATAATTTTTACATTAAAAACAAAAAAAAAGTTATGTGCTTTGGTCCTTTGGAGGAAAGATTGAGTGTGGGTAGGGCAGAGATTTGGGCCCCAAGATCCCTTGACCTGTCTCCAAATTCAAACTCTCCTTTCCTCAATTTCTTCTCATTCTTTAGAATTATTGCACTTTGTAGGAAGTTGGTGGCACAAATTGAGGATATAAGGGTTTGATTTATTTTCCTTGTGAGTGGGATGTGTGTATGCATAAAGTTATACTTAATTTAACTGTGATCTCCTTTATTTTTCACCCTTATGGGTAAATTTTAAAAGTGAGTGTACGTCTAGGTAGTAGCATAAGACAGCACCGCCACTGTTCGTTTTGTTTTCTTGACAAGAAATATCATTCGCGCGGTCGACCCTAATAATTGCGTCGACATCAAAAAGTTGTTTTTGCCTTTATCATACTCTAACATATGTTACTGTGCCAAATGTATCTTAACCCTAAATCTAATTAACCCATGTTCATAATTAACCTAATAACCTTTTTTTAAACCATAATAATGGATTTTATTACAAAAATCTAACGAATAAACACGAGAAAAATTTACTCAAGTTTTTTACGAATGAAAATTAATTTATACACAAACTAAAAAAATTTAAATTAAATAACAGAATCTACACATTATAGTTTATACATAAATTAAGTTTTTTTTCTTCTTCTCCAAAGTACTTATCAAAACAGACACATTACTATTTATTCGAACTTAATTATTTAGTATTAGAGTTAATATTTTTTAACAATGCATAAAAATAAAGGATCATGGTGTTTAGTCCCTCAAAAAAATCCATTTTTATTTTCAGTTTCTAAAACATTTATTTTAATTCCTATATTTTCAGAATATTCAAATTTTAGTTGTTCATTTCGAGTGCTCAATGTATTTTTTGAAAGTATTTATTTACAACTTAAACTTAAAAAACAACCAAAAGATGGTGGACACTTGAGTTTCTTCATTAAGGTATGGCATTTGAGATGAAGTTCAAGGTATCATTTATTTCAAAATTTAATTTAGCTACTAATAAGATTGGCAAAATGGATATAATATGATAGGTCAATCCGAAAAACAAACAAAAACGTATAAATAATAAATATATAATTTGAATTAAATTAAGTCAATATTTTGCCCCATATTTTCTCCATTTAGGTAAATTTAAATTAGACTGAATGATAAACTTGTAGGTTGATTCATTTATAAAATAAAAATCATATTAAAAAATAATAAAAATGTATTAAGGAGTATGATTTATATATGAAAAAAAATTATATCTAAAACCAAAACTTATTTCATTGAAATAACTTAAAATTTAAAAACATGTTTACATTTTAATTTTTGATTTAAAAATATTTTTAACTTCTTTTAAAAGCCAAAATATGATTTGCACATTGAGTAATAGCTTTACTTTACTATGAAATTCTCAAGTTGAAAAATTTAAATATAAATTTAAATATAAGTAATATATATAAAAAAACCCATAATTAAATATCTTATATTTATTTTTGCAGACAGAGCTAGGAAAAAAAATGCATGGAAAGTTAGGAAATTGATGCACAATGTTTTGTTATTAAAAAAAAATCATCCTTCCTTTACGCGAAGAAAGCTAGGAAAACATACAGAACACTATATAATAAATTATTTAAAAATAAATAATTAATCATATAATATTTTTTATTTAAAAAAATAAAAAATTATGATTATAATAAAAAATTATAAAACATAATAAATAAAATTATAAAAAACAAAATACATTTATTTTTAATTTTTATTTATTTATTACTTATTTTTTTAATCTATTAAACCAATTACATCACTTACATATTTTTATAAACTTTTCATTTTTTCATTTTTTATTATCTATCTCTTAATCAAAACAACTCTTATTTTATCTCTTTTTCCTCTTACATTCACTTATTTTCAATCATTCAAATCTATCTTTTTATTCAAACACAAATTTTTGAATAAAAATAATGTTAATTTCTTACGTATATTGAACTCTATAACTCCCGTTACATCCCCTAAAGACCCAAAACTAAACACTTTCAATTCTAAAAGTTATTCATAACATAACTCAATCTTCTTCCCAACACGTTCACAACAACAACAACAAAAAAACTGCAAATAGCTAATAATTATTTGATGAACTGCACCAAGCTATATATCAACGATGGACAGTGCCTTTGTATGCCCAACCCAAAACTCCTCATTTTAGGGCACAAAGCTTTAGGCAATAAATAATAACAATGCATGTATTAGAAGCGAAAGCACAAGTTCACACGCAACACCCTGTAATGCAACAGTGTATTTGACCCAAAGCAGTGCCTTCCCTTTGCAGACATAAATCTCAAATTAATGAAAGTGTCCATAGTTGAGTTGAGGAGTGTGGAGCATATATATATATATATATATTATTTAGTTTAACAAAGAAGTTTGATTAATAAGTGGAGTTGGAATAGTTGATGAATAAGTTGAAGGGTGTAATTGTAGAGAGATAGATGCATAAAGATGTTATAGGTAGGCATATAGGGTGGTGTGCCAAAGTTGCATGGCAAAAGGGTAAGTGATTTTAATGGTAATAATGGTAATGGTAGATAAGGTGGTCCTGATGCTGTGCATTGGAACCATGGCAATGACATTGGCATTAGTGGGGGTGGCACTGGCATGCAGTACTATCAGTATTGGCACTGTGCGATTGCTAAGCAAGGTGTGTGAGGACCATTATAGAAGCTATAGTGGAACAAGCATGTACCTAAATCATAATTCAAGTATAAAACCTTCTTGTTGGGTCCATTTATCATAATATTCAACAAATACCTACCTACCTACCTTCTACTGAATGCTTCAAATCCAACCTTATTCTAACTACAATGTTTATCAATACATTTTCATTCAACTTTTGTAAACAAACTTTCCTCATCTCAAAATAACTAATCATGTTGTTTTCTAACACAGTTATATTTTTAGAATATATGAAATCATATGTAAGATTTACTAAACTAGGAGTCCCACTCGCATGATTTTATAGTTTTTAATCATTTTTTAAGTAATAATAACAATATGTTTTAAAGGTATACTAAAGATGTGTGGTATTTTTATCTTAAACAAATGTGCGTGTGCCAACATCATTCAGCTATTATCAAGCTTTATTTTCACCATTTGAGCGTCTGTGTCGTATCCTGGGCTTAATCTTCAACAAACCCAGGCTTCACGTGGAAGACTTAAAACATTCGCTGGAAGCTTGGGCCCAACCCAACGATAGTGAAAGTATAATGAGCCCACTTTAATTATTCCCAACACTTCTCCTCACCTGGACCAAAAATAATAAAAGAACACGTCTAAATAAAAAAATATATAATTGCAATTACTATAAACTTTCCTGGTAAATTGAATTGAATAGAAATAATGACAAATGCTAACCCTTATGGATTTTAACAAAAAATAGTTAAGAAAATAAAAATATAATTAAAATATGTAAAAATATGCTTTTCAATAAAAAAATCATTTTGAGTCCTTTTGATGATAACTTTTTTATATTATTATCCGGTCATATAATATCATTGATCTAATCTTTAGTATAATTATTATAAAAAGTTTATATTAAGATTAAAGAAGCTGGTCACCATTAAAATAATAATAATAATAATAATAATAATAATAATAATAATAATAATAATAATAATAATCAGGGTTCGTGATATTATTCGATTGAATTGTATACTAAAAAATAACATGAAACACATAAAAATTAAAATGTAATTTGGTTTAACCTGATTATTATATTAAAAAAAATCTAAACTAAATTAAATTAATATTTAAATAATTTTCACGAATTTTTATTATAAAAGTATTTACTATATTATAATAAAATAATCATTTAATAAAATATTGTAAAAATATAATATATAATCAAGATGCTCATATTATTTTACAATTAATTTAAAAATCAATAATAAATTATAAAAATTTAATTAACTTATTTATACCAAATATGTTTTATATTTTAAATTTAGTAATCTATATTATAATTTTAATTAGATTTAATTTGAGTTGATTTTTAATCATCAAGGCGAAAAGTCATGATTTTAAAATTTTTCAATAAAAAAAGAAAATTGATTTTAATATTGGGTTAATAATCTAGAAGCTGGCTATCATCTTCCCCGTGCTTGGATAAAAGTAAAAAGAAAATTATCCTCTTGCATACTAGAAGTTTTTTTTAGACAACCACAAACACAAATTACAGATGAAGATGGTATGTTATAAAATTTGTGAGTGGGGTTTCACTATGCAAAGCAGCATGTTCATCTTACACAGCAAGCACAACTTCTTATCTTCCACAAACCATTTCTGCACTCAATTATTACAATAAAACCATTATTGGATTTAAAGATAGAAAAGGGGATTATTCAATACAACAAAAAAGAAAATAGCCATTATTCTCAACCAATTCTAATTATTCTCCTTTATTTTTTCTGATTCTATATACCAAGAGCAGAACAAATCATAAAATAAAAATGAAACTAAAAAAGGGGTGGATTGAGCGGTGGAAACAATAGCAGCACCAGGAAAAAGGGAAAGGTTTTGAGCGGTTCAAACCAAAAACAAAAACATGCATGGAAGAATGAGGATTGAACAAAGGGACAGAGACAGAAAGAATCATTGTCCCATCGAAAAAGACTTGGCGCCATGGTTTCATTCTCCCTATTCATCCTCTGTTCCTTAATCCTCCTCGTCCAACCTTCTTCCTCCACGCAGCCTCTCAATTTTGAACCCGATAACATCGAACTCCTCGGCGACGCCCACGTTGTCGCCGTCAACGACGCCCCCTCCCATGTGCACCTCACGCACCCCACCCCCTCCTCCTTCGGCCTCCTCCGCCGCCCCCACCCTCTATTCTTCGCCGGCAGCACCACCAACTTCTCCACAGAATTCTCCTTCTCCATCTCCGGCGATGGCAGCGGCCTCCTCCTCGTCCTCACCGCCGCTGGCGGCAACGGTTCGGATTCCGTTGCCGTTGAGTTTGATACGTCCAAGGATGACAATGTCGGCGACCCCAACTTGAACCACGTTGGCATCGACGTCGGAAGCCACATGTCCGTGGCTGTCGTGAATGTTTCCGATGTGAATCTTGTTCTCAATAGCGGGGAAAAGTTGAATGCTTGGGTTGATTATAATGGTGGTTATAAGGTGTTGGAAGTCAGGTTAAGCAAATGGGGTGATCAAAAGCCTTCTGATCCCATTGTTTCTCATGAGATTGATTTTTCCAAGTTATGGGGCGAGAATCCTGTGTTTGCCGGTATAAGTTCTTCCAATAGTGCCCTTTCGGTGCAGGTTGTTAGTATCTATTCGTGGAGGCTTAGTTTGAAGAAAGCTTCACATGGGTTGCACTCTCTATCTGCCGATCGGCATGATTTATCTGAGGACGAGCATAGGAGACTTTGTCCTTTGACGGTTCTTGCTGGGGTGATTTTTGGAACTGGGTGCGTTGCGTTGGTGACGTTTGTGGTGCTGTTTATGTGGGTGATTTTCTTCCAAAAGGGCCCAGAGGAGTCTCTTGCCAGAATCCCTGATCACACTTCGGATATCAAGTATGAAAGAATTGATGTGGCTGTTGACAAGAATCCGCACGATGATGAGAGTTAGAGAGCAGGTGATGATGTTTTCTTGGTATAGTTGCGCATTTATGTCATGTGCAGGATACTTTTTACTGTGTTTTCTTTAATATGTAAATTATGTAAATTACTATTAGTCCCTGCTTGGAAGCACTTTGATTTTAATTTTGTAGCATGATTTTGGCAGTATATAAAATGATCAGGCTTGCAGTTGCAGCTGTGTTATGTTTGAGATTTGATAGTAAGGGTGATTGATTACTAATAATAATTTGTTTGTGATGCTTTTCCCTGTTATATATGGATGCATGCGCTGAAGAGGATGTAGTGTTCCATAATTAAATTGAAGGGGATGCTGTGATATCCTCCAATTAGATTGACATCAGGATGGATATGTGGCACAAGATATGACTCTGTTGCCCCTCAAACCATATATATATATATATCATCTCCTGGTGTCTCTAATGCTGCATGTTATTTGAGTGGTAAGAGATTTAGATAGTCAATAGAACAGGACTGTACTCGCCCTGTTTCCCCTGGTTACGTGAGGAGAGAATGTAATTAACTTAATGCTTCACAGAATCACAGATGAAAAATACATCCTCTGGTTGCAGCACCTGCTTTTATTTGGATGCTCTGATGCAATCATGTGGTAACATCATGGATAACAGCATATTTATCTATGTTCTCTTCTTTCCTTCAAGCTTTGTTCTTATCAATCAATCTTGTATTGTTTTCCAAGCAATTGGGACCGTATACTCTGAGTAGAAAGATAATTGAAAACTATATGTACCAAAAAAAAGGTAATTAAGTTAAAGGTGACCCGTGATATTATAAAGAAGTCAGTGTTGAAAAGCATTTAGAAAACAACGATGCACCATGACATGAAGGAGACATCTCCATGCATGATTGACAGGGAAAGGTTAACACCACTGCTCTTAAAAATTTGAAATGATATCACTCTCTTAAAAATCTCGTCCTACCTTCTTTAAAAATCTTGTTAGAATCTTTCCCACTTTAAATTCGTGGTGCAATCAACATTATTTCATTGTGATATTAAGAAAATTTAGAAGAAAAAGAATGCTTAGTTAATTTTTTTAAGCAATAACAATAGATGTGTTTTAAAATCTTATTTTATTCTCCAATTTTAAAACTTCTTTAACACAATTCAGTTCCAATATGTATTGAGCCAGATTATATCTTAGGTTGGAAATTTATTATCTCTTTTTTTATTATTCTCTCTTCTCTCTCTATATAAATTGTCTTTGGGCCATATCTAACATGAAAGAAAAGATGGTCAACCTTTCTTTCATTTGGAATGAGATGAGGGCAATACCCACCATCGGAGATGAGCTGGTATATCATTCATAATTCATCAATCAATCACTTATAGTGGATTCTCCGTCATGTGTTCTTTACTCAAATAACTGCATTCTCACTTTATGAATATAAATTGATATGTAAAACTATTTCTATTAATCATGGATTCATCTACATATACACAGAAAGAACATAAAATCTATTATTCTCATAATAACTTTGTCTGATTCAAGTTAAATTATTTTTATGAATATTTTAATTAGTATACTGAAAATTGTAGATGCTAACCAAAAAGAGGATAACAAATGAAAATGAATGAATCAAAAGTAGAAGAAGAAAGATAAGAGACGATGACTGAGAGGTCTCTTTAGTGCCATTACGTTCACGGCACATATCTTTTGGCAAATCCTTTTCTGTTGTACGAATACTTTGTGCTCCAAAGATTCTTTAACTTTTTGGACCCAAAATAATAGCATTTTAGGTTGTTCTATTCTGTATAACCCAATGCTTACCATTCAATGTGCTGAATGGTTGGTTACCAAAAATATATATAAGGATAGAACTTTCTTATGATAAAATAAAATATGATTATTGATTTTCAAGTGCTCATAGTAGAGAGAGAATAACCCACACTGATGGTTATTTGTAAATATTTTCGGTCTTATATGATAGTGGTAAGCTAATTGAAATTTAAAACCCAGAGCACTTATGCTAGGACTAATTAAAATGAAGCCCTCACTCCAAAGGTTTGTGCCCAACACAATTGCATTTTCCACTTCAAGTTTGGTAGCATCACAAAAAAAGAGTTATGCTTCAGGTTAGCATCTCTGACATAATGTTGAAAAGCATCTAAAAAAAAGCTACTCAACCGGAAAAAGAAAAATAAAGATGCACCACAAAGGAGACAGCTTCTCCATGACTGTTAGCAAAAAATTAACACCACTACCTTTTTAAATATGTCTAATTAATTTGGCATGGCAACGGGGTAGGGCGGTGGCGGGATTTGCCTCCGCGATTCTTGTCCCCAACTTTTTTAACCATCCCCGTCCCCGCTCTGATTCTTGTTGGGGTTAAAAATTAAGTCTTCATTCCCGTCCCGTGAGTTTGGGTTCCACACCTCGTCCCGATCTATATTATTTTTAAAAAGATAATTACATTTATAATAAATTAATTTTATAATAAAAAATAGATATATAAATAAATCTTTATAATTTTATAATTTATAATTATTATTAATTAAATATACATTTTAATTTATTATATTTATATTAAAATATGTATTTAAAAGAAATAGTTAATCATTTTTTATTTATAACATTATTATTATTATAATACTGTATTCAAATATTTGAATATTTATAACATTATTATTTTAATACTATATTCAAACATTTGATTATATATATATATATATATATATATATATATATATATATATAAAAGTTAATTCATTTCTAAGTTGTCATTTAAAAATATGAAATATATAGTTTATAAGAAAATATTTAATAATTTAATTCTTATTCAATTAGTTCGAAGTAATAAAAGTTTAAATTATCAATTCCTTTAATATTTTAAAATACAATTATTTTATTCAGATAAAATTTGATATATGATAAATAAGAATAATAAGATAAAAAAATATGACATAATAAAACCTAATAAATATAAATTATAAATAAAATAATATTAGTTATTACTAAGATTTATGTAAAACATTTAGAAAAAGATAAAGAATAAAAAAAATTAATTTTGTGTTCATCAAATTGGTTGAAAAGATTGAAAAAAAAAATTTAATGAGAGAGATTAAGAAAATATGAAAAATTGAAAGGTAAGAGAAAAAATAATGTAATAAATTAATTGATATAAAAGATTAAAAAAGACAAAAAAATTAAAAAGTGGGTAGAATTTTTTTTTTGGTAAAATATAAAAAAAATGACCTTATATATAATAAAAAAAAGAAATATTTTAAAAATATTAATATTTTAAAATTTAAATTTAAATATAAAGTAGAGGCGAGACGGGGTCGGGGTGGGGATTACATTATCCATCCTCACCCCACCTCTTGATCAACTCGAATTTTCTCAATCAAACTCGAGGAACGAATCGATCCCCAGTTACCAATTTAATTGTAATCCCTCTAATTAATCATGACTTTCATTTTAAATCAACCACTCTCACCTGTTATAATTTCATAAAGAAAAAAAAGAAGGAAAAGAAAGAAATAATGCTATAGATAATGGAAGGAATAGATTTTTGTTTTGCATTTTTCATTAAAAGAAGTTGAACGTTTTCAAACCTCAAGCATTAATTGTATCAATTCTCAACGTGGTCAAAACGGTAACCGACACTTTGAATGAATTCAAAATGATATTGCTCTCTTTAAAAATCTTTTCAGAATCTTTCCACCTTTATTTTTGTTGTGTAATAAATAATATTGTGTCAATTTCATGTAGAAAAAATTCAAAAGAAAAAGAATGCCAAGTGTGAAAAGCAAGTCTTCTTTATTTCCAAGATTTTTTATGGAAAGACCAAAGAGCTGAAGCAATCCAAAGTTGCAGATATATATAAATATATAAGGGATTGGCCTTGGATGATACATATCCTTTCATTTGAAATCACATGGGATAACGCCCACCATCACATGCACCAGAACTCTCTACTTTCGTTCATTTCATATGATGAATTCACACCAGCTTGTTCGTTCATAATTCATCAAGCAATCACTCATAGTGGATTCTCGATTTGTCACGTCTTTGGTCGACAGGTACACAACAAGAGTGTCAATTTGTGAATGAGTTAACTCTGTTTTTTATGTTAAATATTCATACTTTTATTTCTATTTGGTCTGTGTCTGTCTTTTTACAACTTCTCATTGAGCTCTATTTGCCTCAGAATATGTGACCCTAAGAAGAAATTAAACAACATTTTTGTGTTTCTATTTGTTCATATTGTTATCATCACCCACTCTTCATCCTCAAAACCTGAAAATCTTTTGGTGTTGTTTGTTTTGCTGTAACACTTTGTTTTAAAAAGAAATTAGATCTGGAGCCAAAAAAATGAATTTTTCTGAGCTATAAATCTGGCAGAATAAGGTATGATTTGTTGTACAAAGTAAAAGTCATTTATCTGTGTTATAAATGGAGATTTATTAAGAAATACATAGCACTTGCAGAAATAAGTAACTGATATGACTTAAGAAATTTGTTTGGTTCTTTTCATCTTCTATTTACAGCAATTGCAAACCTCACCTACTATTTAAGATAGATTAATACCTCTAGGTGATTTAAACCTATAACATGCTTTTTATATTCATATTCATATATTATGAACTATTAGAACTAACAAAAATAGATAATTTTGAATAAATTTTAATTAAATTATAATTCCTCAAGTAAATTAATTTATTTGATCCCTTACAATTTATTTCAAGAAAACCCAACTCATATATAATTTATTGATAAGAAAAACAAAAATTATAAAATTTTCACTTATATATAATATAAATTCAATTTGATGCTTCATTATAATAATTATTTTTTTATTACTTATTAATTGAAATTCACTTCATATCATTTTTAACATTTATTATAAAATAATTGTTTTATAATTTATGACAAGGTGATGACATCATAAAAAAAGTATAATATAACATTTTTTGCTGAAAACAAACTTATAGGAACTGTATATATTAAAAAAACAAAATAATCTAAATTAAATAGTTATATATATGACACATAAATGGACTGTTCCATATAATAAATTACACATGTTTTTTTTTTTCTTATTGAAACCAACGGCGCTTACATTTACAACACGTCACATGGAACCACACATGTGAAAACGTGGATTTCTCATTTAAAATATTATAATCCATTATTATATGGTGTTTAGGGGGTGTGAAAAGAAAACAAATATGAGATTTATATTATTAAACAAGAACACCATGTTTTAATTATTGGTAAATATTTTGCAGGAATAAATAAAAAATTATTAATGTCATTATCATAATTTTCTTCTCAAAGTTTATGTTTTCTTTTATTATTAAAAAAATAGTGAGTTAGTTATCATTAGAATGAAGATGTTTTTCTTCATAAAGCAGCTAAAAGTGTGTCACAAATAGAGATTTCAACATTTTGTCACACTTTTTGTTTGTTTGCACATTTCTGCATGTCTCACAAAGTGAGTCTATACAACACAAAATTCAGTAATTTAAAGAATGTGAATTTTAAAATTGACAAAGTTTCACATATATTCAATGGTTTTGAGAATGATCAAACTCTAAATTTGACACTTTGATCACTAATCTTATATTTAAGAACTTAATTAGTGTCATAGAAAGTTAATCTTACTTAACTCTTTTTCATTTAAAAGTGTGAAAGTAAAATTATTATAAAAAAATTATATTATTTGTTTTTGTTTAAGGAATGAAATATTTGTTTAGTTTTAAAATAAGAAAATATAATTAAAGTAATACATTATAATCGGAGTTATTACATTCAAAAATAATTTTAAATCTTTAACTATTATGATTTCTTTACATAAAGAAATAAGACAATATTTAAATTTTGTAATGAATTTAACAGTACTAATCATTAAAAAAATATGATAATCCTAGATATCATCAACCTCTTTTTCTTATTCTTCCTGAATTTAATAATACTTTCATAAATATAATATATTATATAATCAATTTTTTAATAATAATTATATTATTAATAATAAATTTATATTTGTATTAACTATAATAACTTTACATTAATGATAATATTTTTTATTAATAATAATAAATTTAATAATTTGAATATAACATAAATTTAGCATATCATTAAAAATATTATTTTAAACAGTTTGAGTTGAAATATGATATGATTTTTGTATTTTAAAGAAGTATATTTTAAAAAATATATAAAATTAATAAATAAAAAACATTGACTTAAAATATTAATTATTTACATAATAATCATAGTTTTATTATTATATTAATTAAAGAATTAATTAAATTATTATTAAGAAAAATAATACTTAAAATTTATTATTAATTTAAACTTATTTTGATATAAATTTAATAAATATAAATATAATTTAAATTATTATTAATAATATTATATTTAGTAAAGTAGTATGAAATCAGGGAAGAATATAATTCTCAAATCCAAATTATTATTATTATTATTATAAATAATAGTTAATTATTAGTTTAAATTTATTTTAATACAAAATCAATAAATAGAAAATATTAATTTAATAATTTTAATTATTATTAATAATATTATATTTATCAAAGTAGTATGAAATCATGAAAGAATATAATTCTGAACTCCAAATTATTATTATTAGTATAAATAATACTTAAAATTTATTATTAATTAAAAAATATTTTAGCATAAAATTAATAATACAAAAAAAATAATTTAATAATTTAAATCGTTATTAATAATATTATATTTATTAAAGTGGTATGGAACCAGGGAAGAATATAATTCTGAACTCCAACAAAATTCAAAGCAGAGAAAGATAGCATAAGAAAGCACAAGAAAAGGTTCATACAAAATAAAATAAAAAAAGATTTTGGTATTGATTTAAACAAATCGTTGCCTTTCGGAATTCTATTTTCAAAATTCATGACAAAAAAATTCAACGGAATAAATGTAGTCAATTTATCTTGTTCTAGTTGTGCGTGCCAATAAATAAAACACGGATTTAACAGTGCACGGAAAACCTTACTAAAATATATAACAATTCAATTAGAAAGTGAATAATTTATTTTAATGCACATTTAAAAACTTTCCTTTTATTTCTTATTAAATATAAACACTCTATGCAAACATAATTAAGAAAGTACAATATTTGTAATATTGAAATTCTTTTACATTCAAACAGACGATGATAATAGAGTTCATTACAATTATTATATCTTGTTTAAACACTATTGCAATTAAAAAAGGGTTAAATAATAATTTGTTTGATGGGAGAATGAGAAATTGTAAGTACTAGTACCTTATTGTTTTTGGTATAAAAGGAAGTGTAATTGACTGGTCATTGTTGATTTTGTTTGAATATATAAAAGAAGGGTGTTGGTTCCTCCCATCGCGCCTGCGGTAAGGCTTGTTTGGAAGGAGCAGCATCTCACCGCGACGCTGCTTTCGACTACAACAAAGCAACAAACACCACCTTCAGTGACAACATCAAACAATGGGAAGAGGAGACATTGAACTCGAAACAAACAAGGTCTATGACCAGGATGTTGTAGCAGATGTTGAATTCCCAACCACCGCTCATCAAATTAGCAGCGGTTCGTGATCTCATTGCTTTTCACTTTTCCATTCATTACATTTTCAAAATTTCTCTAAGAACCTGCAGAGTCCATGGTTTTGAGATGAATGAATATGTTGCAGCAAGAACACAATTAACACAAGCTTAATTTTTAACAAAGAAAATTGTTAAATACAGGCATATTAGAGAATTTTCAAAACTACCCTCTCCGTTTTTACCTACTCATTTAGGTTGAGTCAACTTTTCTCCATGTGTGTTATATTACATTTATGATTTTAAGTTTGGATTTTGATGCATTGGTTTATATCTTTCAATTTGTTATTTTCTTTGAATAAAAAACAATAGGAATTGATTATCTGTCATCATTTGTTCTATTCTTCTTCTTTAGTTTCATCTTTTTAATTTATGTTCTTTATATTTGTTTGTGTGCAGATTCATGGTTTCAAGTGGGTTTTATCCTCACGACTGGAATCAACAGTGCCTATGTGCTTGGATATCCAGGGACAGTTATGGTTCCACTGGGATGGACCGGGGGTGTGGTTGGTCTACTTCTTGCAACCATAGTATCACTCTATGCAAATGGTCTAATTGCTCATCTCCATGAATATGGAGGACAAAGGCATATTAGGTACAGAGATCTTGCTGGATATATATATGGTAAGACACATAATCTTCTTTCTTCTCTTCACTTCACTTGTCATTTTATTTTCTGCAACTTATGTTCATTTCATTGTTGCAGGTAAGAAAACGTATTCACTCACATGGGCTTTGCAGTATATCAATCTTTTCATGATAAATACTGGCTACATCATTTTGGCCGGTTCAGCCTTGAAAGTAAGATAGATTTTTGGCTATGTATATTTTTACTTTCCATTTAATTAGATTTGGCTTCTTTTCCTTGCCATTTTTATACTGTAGTGGGTTCATTTATTTATTTTTTCTGTTTTTGCTTTGTAAAAGCAGATATCTATTCAAGATTCTGTTTTTTTTTTCTAAACCAATTTTCTCTTATTGTGATACAGGCTACTTATGTTCTATTCAGGGATGATGGTCTACTGAAACTCCCATATTGTATTGTCATAGCTGGACTGGTGTGTGCAATGTTTGCCATCTGCATTCCTCATCTTTCAGCTCTTGGAATTTGGCTTGGATTGTCAACAATCTTTAGCCTAGTATACATTATTATATCATTTTTGTTGTCGCTTAAAGACGGTAATATCTCGTGTCTCAAATGTTTACCCCTGCAAAGTAATTTTATAATAACTTGTTAAATAGCTTCTTAATTAATGCATTTTTTAGTGCAAAAGCAACACACAGTGAAAATTTGAACTATTAGTTTCTGATAATCACATCCAAAAAATAAGTCACATGTGAATCGTGAAACAAGTACACTACATAAATATATATTTGATTTACAGTCAAGGCGATACTAAAAATTGGCCTGCAATGTGGTGTCTTATGCTTACTTTGTTGTGTCGAATATATTGTGAAAGACATGTCCTGTAAGATTATGCACTAACCAGTAGAACATTAACAGGATTACATTCACCACCTCGTGATTACAACCTTCCAGGAGATGGTTTAAGCAAAGTATTCACAATAATTGGGGCATCTGCAAACCTCGTGTTTGCATTTAATACAGGCATGCTTCCCGAGATACAGGTTAGATAGAAGCTTATAAATAAATATTCATATATTATGTTTTTCGTTGATACAAAATTCTCTTTCATTCATTATGTGCTCTAGAAATTGAGTTTAATTTGTACAACTCGCAGGCAACGATTAGGCAGCCAGTTGTGAAGAACATGATGAAAGCCCTGTACTTTCAGTTTACTGTTGGAGTTCTACCACTGTACCTAGTTGCGTTTACAGGATATTGGGCTTATGGATCTTCCACTTCAGTGTATTTGCTTAATAGTGTGAATGGTCCAGTTTGGGTGAAGGCTTTGGCCAATATTACAGCCTTTCTTCAATCAGTCATTGCATTGCATGTACAAACATCTGAACTAGAACTCTCATTACTCTTGAATTTATCACATGAATTTTTTTCCTTGGCTTAACATAATAATAATTCTTGTTCTGCTTCTGCTAGATTTTTGCAAGTCCAATGTACGAGTTTTTGGATACTAAATATGGGATCACCGGAAGTGCACTGAATGCCAAAAACATGTCATTTCGAATCCTGGTAAGAGGTGGTTACCTGGCTTTTAACACATTTGTGTCGGCTTTCTTGCCATTCCTTGGAGATTTCATGAGTCTAACGGGGGCGATCAGCACATTTCCCCTTACATTTATTCTTGCAAACCATATGTACCTTAAGGCAAAGAAGGACAAACTAACAAGCTCACAAAAGCTCTGGCATTGGTTCAACATTGGCTTCTTTTCCATTATGTCTTTTGTAGCAACAATTGCAGCCATACGACTTATTGCTGTAGACTCCAAAACATACCATGTTTTTGCTGATTTGTGATTAAATTCATTCTATTCTTTCAGCAATTGCAACCCCCCAAAGTTCAGTGTTTTAGGCCTTCTGTTTTAGAAATAAAGTTGAGCATAGAATCTCCTAGTAGGAGATTGTATTGTATCAATGCAGTGATGTATTTGGTTGAGTAAACTTTTTGATCAACATTGGTCACTCAGATCAGCAAATACGCATATTTGGCTAGTTAAGAAATTGATCATATCCCTGACGGCAGTTACTCTATCAACATCAATTCAGTAAAGCAAAGTAACCTAGAATCGACTAAGCATAAAATAAAAAATGATAATGAATACTCAATAAACTGAATACAACACTGAATTTAAAATCATCATGCCCTACATTTTATAGTAAAGAACGTTATTTTTTTTATAATAAATAATATCAACAAAATAGGAGAAAAACTTTTATTCATATAGCTACAATAGAATTTGGTAAAACTGTTGTCTTAAAGACCTTCGTGTAATCATCTAAGAAAAACTCCAAACCTGCAATATTTGAGAAATCGGCACTTGTATGAATAAATAAAAGAGAAACAAATGTAATGTAAATGGATATGCTATTGTCATATTCTCTCTCTAAATGAGAAAATAAGTTGTATACTCCCTAACTTCATAAGAGGTGTATAGAGAAGAGACAGAGAGAAGTAAATGGTAAGGATTGCTGACTTCGCTACCTTGATTTCATTGAACTAGATGCTTAGTTTCGTATAATCAACGTTGGTTGATTTTCGTTCCAAACTTCAGCTATTATTATTCCAAACCAAACAAAAATTCAACACTTAAGCAACAATCAAAACAGAGGAGATTAAAAAAAAAAAAACTACCAATCACTAGAATCATGAAGTAATTACAGTTCCTGTACACTTGCTAATAAAGTCAATAAATAACATATGATTGTGTAGTATGATGTCAGAAGAGTATATCTCAAAATGGCCAAAAAATTACTTTAAGAAAAATGCAGATTTCATCTTAAAAAAAACATAGAAGTTCATTTTCACATATTTTCTTCCATTATTGTAATAGATGAAGAGCTCAAGGCACTCCCTCAACAACAAATGTTTGTTTGAATTATTTCGTTTGAAAAAACATATAATGATCAAGGCGCGTGAAATAAATAAAATGCTTGAAATAGACATCTGAGTCTCACCTTGTCAAGCATCATGCAGACACGAATTTGAGAATAATGCAAATGGAGTTGAGAAGTATGAGAGGAACTCTAAGGTACTGAGTTGCATAAATGAGACCTATAAGCTGGCCTTTGAACGACTTAGTCCTTCCTCCTGAGAAATCTGAGAAACCCCATCCTCTTGGTGCAAGAAAACGATCCTCATTTAATATTGCCAGTGCATTTGCAAGAAGCAAGAACCCCTCAAGTAAAGTCCACAAACCCATTTCCCTACATTGCAAACAAATCCAACCCTATGATCATCACATAACTGATCCAATAGAAAACTTACGTTTGACATTGTCATTGACAATTTAAAGGAAGTATGCTTCCATTCTCACGGTGCTCAAAAGAGATTTATTACCAAAGGGTTCAATACATCACTTTCCCTGAAGTGCAGGCTGGTGGCACAAAAAAAATCACCCACAAGTTACAATTTTACAATCAGTTCGAGACTTGGAGCACCTCCCATAAACTATTTACCATAATTAAATTACAGTTTTTAATTACAATGTCAAGAAATATGAATGCAATGCACCAACTAAAAATTCACAACCATGGTTAATAGAATCTAAAACTAATTTCCCACATTGTGGAAAATAATGAACAAAAACTGGTGCTGACATTTTAACTCAACAAACAATATAAAAACGGGAATCATATTCAAGTAACAAAATCACAACAACATTCAGCCAATGCCACAAAACTGGCGATTAAGGATGATACAAAAATGTTTATTGCTTCAACACAAACAGAACAAGGTTAAGATTCGAATGAGTTGGTTTGAAAAGAAAATTTGAGAAAACCTTATACGTTACGGTGAGATGAAACACGATCAGATCATGCTGATGTTGAACGTGTGAACGAAGTCTGAGGAAGAAGAATCCAACGTGACCAAAACGCGTCGTTTTTCTATTTCTTTAAGGAAGCTCAATCTTCTTGACCCAAAGCTAAAGAGGTCATATGATTTATGTTGGATCCGTAATCTCAGTGATTAAATTACTAAAAGTTTAATTATATTTTTATTTCTTAAATATTTGGAATAAATTTTTTTAGTCTCTTAAATTAAATATATATATAAACTCTTTATTCTAGTTCTTCCAAAATATAATTTTTAAATCGTAAATATTAAATTTAAGAGTTTAAAATTTATTTTTAAAAAATTATTTTAGTTCTTAAATTTAATTATTAAATAATAAAATATATTATTTTAATTTTGATACTTAAGAAAAATTTATAAGTCAAATTCAAAACCATCTTAAATTTCAAAAATCTAAAACATAATTAAGTCAAATAAAAAAGAAAAAAAGTGTGTGGATTATTTTGGTTTTCGTGTAATTAATTTTTCCCTTTCTTTTTCTAATTTCTGTCTTTTGGTTTTGCTGTAAAAAACCAACATAATTATTTTTTTTAATTTAATCCAAATATATTGAAAGTATAAGAACATTTTCAATCATAAAAAAAATGTTTTGAGTATATTTTTATGTGTTCTATGTGTAACACTTAATATATAAAATAATTTGTTATTTTTCTAAACCCATTTAAAGTTCTTTATTTATTTTTAATGAGTGGTATAATATTATTTGTTCTGATATAAAAAATAATTCTTACATAATAACATTTTCGTGAAAAAAAAAAAAACTTACATGTGAATTCTTATTTAAAAAAACTAAAAAAGAGCTAACTTTTGAAATGACCTAAAGTTCTTTTTACATTCTACTCTAATCATAATATGCTTAATGTTTTATTTTATAGATGTTTAACATTTATTTCCTTAAAATCCTTTTTTTCTCCCATCTACTTTATACAATATATTGAAATTCAGGGACAACATCCAAATGTTAGTTTAAAAGAATGAAAATCAAAAAGCATATTTTAAATAGAAACTATAACCATTATTTAAGATATTAATATAAAATAATGATATGATAAAAAATTTATACATAACAGTTTAATAACGTGTTTATAATAATATAGTAAAACGAATATAATCGAAAAAAATATTATATTAATATTTGAAAAATTTTAAAAGTATTATTATTCTATGGTTGTGTATGTTGCTCTAAATTTTAATGAATTAATTAATAGAAGAAGGTGAAATAAAACTCAGATTTTCAAACCCAGTGACAAAAAAGAATGGCACTAATACTGATACTCTACCATATTCGAATATCCATTTCGGAACATGGTCCATCCACTTCAGACACGTCATGTCGCCTCTATTCTTAAACCAATATTCTCCTTCCACGTGGATTCGTAAAAAAATCTCCACCCACAATTATATAGCTGATTGGTCCCATTAACTGTAATTAACTATTTTTATGTCCAAAATTCTTTTCATTTGTCTTCGAATAATTATTTTATACATCACCAATGAAATTAATTTACAATCTTATATATTAAAGAAAAATTGTGACATAACAAAATAAATTACAATTCGACAAAATAACACCAATTGAAAGAAATTTAATTCAAGAGATAGTTTAATTCTAAATGTAAAAATAAGAACTGAAACATTATTAGTTTATCACAATCTAACCCATTGATTATCTTAAATATGTATGGTGTTTTATTTGTTCTGAAATTCTACATGTTATTCATGTCGTTTTTCTTAGAAGGAGGAAACACATCAGTGTCACCCATGAATCGGTACTGAATAAGAGCCCTAATTTATCTTCTTATTTTTTCTCTCTACTCTGAACTCTTTCACTTTCCCTCTCTATATTCTCTTCCAGTTAGCAATTGGTTCCCAGTTTCTTGGAGTTGCTTCTTCAATGGCTCAAACTGCTCTTATTGCTCCACCAACTTTCATAGCTATTACCAATGGCATGTGCCACTTTCCATGCTATAAATTCACCCTCCAACCACTCTTTTCTCTTTCTTTTCATCATTTGTTTCGTGTTATCCTAGGACCAAGCACAGGCGAATGATAATTTGTTTTGAACAATGAATTAATGTGTTTTCTCAGGTAGGGGAAAACAACGACAACAACAACAAAACCAACTCTCTTATGCAAGAAAGAAAGTGGTGGGCTTACTGTCACTTGTTCCGAGTAGGAGGATCGAGAAGGTTCCATTGTTTGTTTCATCAAATTCTGGTGATAAGAGAAGAAGTGCGTTGGTGAAGGTATCGGAAGGAGGAGCTATCTCTCTCCCTCATGGTTGGCCACCGCAAAAGGTAATTACTTTTTCATATCATAATGTCAACCAATCAATTATTATTTCTCTCTTTAAAAACATATTACAATGTTTATCTAATACTTTCAAAGTTTAACTAACAAGATAATATCAACTTGTTATTAAAATTTTGATTCCAATTAGTTATTCATCCCATTATTATAAATCAAAATGAGGATTCCTTTTATGTTTTTTAAGTGCGGAGTGATTTTTCACTGCAAATATTTTGAAGAATAAATTATTAGCCTGAGTTTATCTTTGAATGATTAAACATATGAAAATTATTAATTAAAAATAAATAAATTAATCTATTTCTACAGAAAAATTAGTAGGTATTTTGTTCGTATGATTTTTAAAATAAAATTAACCTACGCTTTTATGTTGTTTTAAGAAAAACATACATATTGTAAATTGTTATTTAAAATGTATTGTAAGTCGTATTTAAGCACGTGTGGTGCATTGGACAAATGGAAATGATAAGTTATAGATTTATTAAATGTAATGATGTTTTTTAGAAAAGTGAAAGACGTCTAAAAGTAATAATAATACAATAATACTAGTTTATTTTAAATTATATATGTAGTTTATTTGGATAAGTTTCTTCCAAAGTACTATGAAAAAATATAATTATTTTTTACATAAATTTAAAGTAGAATTTACATAAATTAGAAATAAATTTTAGAGATAGGATTTTTTTACAAATTATATAGATCGTATAAAAACTAATTTTAATTTGTAGAAAATCCATTTTTCTTTTTTCTTTTTTTCTTCTAAATATACTTTTCTATGAACTCGTTCAATAGTATGCATTTTTTTCCTGCGTAAAAGGAAAATATATTTTTAAATTATCTGTCAGAAAAGAAAAAAAAACTTTTCTTAGAATATTCCTTAATATACTGTAATCTTTTTAAACCATTTATATAATTTTGCATTATTATCTGTACTTTATTTATATCCTAAGAATCGCCTTTAATCAACTTCATTTTTAAAACGAAGAGTGAAGAAAAACATTAGGAGTTTATAATTACCAATTATGTTCTTGCAAAATCCATAAACTTGCATACTTTAACCTAATTAGTATATTCATAAATTTGAAGGGAAAAAAAAAACCCTCAAAGCAAGACTAAATGGGCCCAAAGTCTCAGATTAAATATGATCCACAAATTATTGAACTATGGGCCCATGTTGAATACGATCCACAAAGGATTGGGAAATGTTATTATGACCAAACAAAAAAAGATTCGATTATTTTTACTTATCTTTTTCAAAACCAATGAAATATTGACATGCATTGTTAATAGACCCTAATGTCTTTGGCATACTAGATAACTCCAAAATCAAACTCCTAAACCTAGATTTATAGCTTCAAAATTTGCAGCAATTTATTAATACACTGGTCCCTATCTATCTATTTCTCCCCCAAAAAGATCTCTTCTACTTGTGAATTTGGCAGTAGACTTTTGAAGTCTATGAATGTCTTCCATTGGTCACTTCTGAAGAGGACGCGTTTTTCCGTGATAAATAAAAAATGTGCCATTTGTTTTCTCCAATTTGTAGAATGCCCTCATCAAAAAAAGTTTAGAAAAGAGGATACCATTATTGTGTCATGCATCAAAAATAAATATATCACATTCTCAAACAATCTTATTAAACTACTTATTCTATGAATAAATACATTGTTTTGATTAGTATAAAATGATTAGTTTAAAGATAAAATACAAATTTTATTAGAAGTAAAAAAAAATTACTTTTTAAACATTTTTAATTTGAATTAGATGAATAGTAAGAATTTAACCAATGAAAATTATTAATGTATTGAACTTTGAAAATACCTTTTAAAAAAATATCTTTAAAAACTTGACATTTAAAACATAAACAAACTAAATGTTTAAATTTATTTAATATTCTTGATTCTATAGAATACAACTTTATTTTCAAGATTATCTTCAATTAGATTTATTAAATATATATGAACCGTACTTATATTTTAAGATAAGAAAATAAAATATTATCAAATCGATTAATATCTACTAATTTTCCATGTTCAAGAT